CATAGAAAATTTTACATTCATTTCGAATTAATAAATACTTCCAATTTTTCGGAAATTATAGAAAAATGTTCTGGAATGATAAGATGTAAATAAAAATACTCGAAACTGTCTTCCAAAAATTTAGTTATTTGAATATCTAATTTTATTGCTTCACTTTTTTATATATCTTTCCAGATATATTGCTATTCGAGTCTAAATTAAATTTCAAAATAAAATTAACAATTGAAAAAATTTTAATAAAGATTAATTCGTATATGCGGCAATAATCAAAATGTAGTAAACAATTTTTTTTTTTTTTTTAGTCTTAAAATTAATCAATAAAATACTCTTCATCATTATATCATATTTCATTTATGAATTAAATGAAAATTTTTCGGAATTAAAATTCAATGATGATAATTAGCTAATGTGTCATAAAAAGTTTTTTGCTGCTAGAAAAAAAAGTGATCAAACGATATATGGAACACATAATTGACGGTAATTATGCCAAAATTAGCAAGATATGACTGTATTAGAACAGCATAGCGAATCATTTTAACCTTATTCCGAAAAAGTGAAAAAAATCCGGAAAACTATTGAAGCTTTGATATGCGCATATGAGATGTGCAAGTGGTAATTACTATATAATTTAATTATTGGAATGTGCACAGCAATAATAGCTACCAAATTACTTGAAACAGGTTTTTATTATTGTTTCAATCAGTCGGTCTTCTCCTTCCTTATCATCAATTTACTTTTCCCATTCACAATTCCTTTTTGATAAATGGCACTTTCTCATCATTTCTTTAATCGTGAAATGTAGAAACGGGTATTGATCAGATTTCGAAAATAATTTTAATATTTAATATAATAGAAGAATATAATTGTATCAGATGCTGAAGAATTTTTATTTTATATATCATCAGTATTAGAAGTTTGAAATGAAAATTTGATTCTATATGAAAATGTTATCGGTGAAATTGTAACATGAAATAATTTTGTCCTCATTAACATTAATCCAGGATTGCTCTACAATCTTCTTCATCTGTATGAAATTTCAGTCATTTTTTTTTTATTTCGAAATGATTTTTCATCTTGAAACTTTTGAAATGTAAAATTTTTGCTTCATATCTAAATGTTCAATATTTTCAAATGAATTCAAAAATTTCTAATCTGAAATTAGAGAAATACATAGTGGTTTTTACAATCAATCTAATTTTTGATAAGAGTAATTTAATTTCTAAATTGCATTTGGTTTTCTAGAAAGTCAATTTAAAAACAGAGTAATTTGGCAAGTGAGTAAATTCAGAGTGAGAAACAACATTGGCCCTATATGCCGGCACGTTTGGGCCCCGTCACGGATTCAGCGCAATCCACAATGACCCGTGAATTCAATGAGAATTTCGAGAGACGCATCGAACGTTACGCTTCGTTGCCGGCACTGGACAGTAATACACGTGGAACATTGATTAAGATTAAGGTATCTTGAATGGTATTATTTTGTAAATAATGACTGGTTAGGCTCTATTTGCATACAATTTGTTTGCACATTTTCATAAAGCACACTTTATCAAGAATGATGGAAGATTCAAATTATCTAAATTCTATCTTTTTAAAAGATTCTTGAAATATTGTTTCTGTTATTTTCTAAATTTTTGAAATATTTTAATATGTATCAAATCTTTCACAAATCTACGAAATGTATGTTGCATCTCTTATTTTCATTGGATTTCAACTTCAAAAAATATCTATCTGAATAAGGATAATTTCATAAAAGCGAAATATTGATGTATTTTAATGCATTTAAAATTATGATTTAAAAAGTATTTAATTTTTATATTCATTTATTTTTCTAATTTATTATATACTCTATCTTTTGCAAAGTTTTCATTCTTTGAAATTACTGGTATTTTCATAGACTTATAACAAAACACTGTAGAGAAAAGTTGTCATCATTTATGAAATTGAATTAAATTTAATGAATTTTCATTAAAATTCTTCATAACTATCCGTATTAAACGCATGTTGAACAATGCTAATATGACTGCATTTCAGTAATTATTTTTATGCTTCTTTTTCTTTTTAAATTATCTTTCAAGATCCTTTTTCTGACTTCTGATAATAATTTTAATTTTCAAATTTATTCTAATTTTTCAAATTTTATATAAAAAAAGTTTGTTTGCAAGAATGTATTTAAGTATTCCTCATAAAAAAATTAATTTAATTTATAACCTATAACAAGTATATGTATTTAAAAAGCCTATAGAAATAGTAATGTAGAATGGTTGCTAACACATTCTTGAGGTCATTTGTAATAAAAAGGTCACCTTGTTGTGATGCAAAACTGAATCATCAAAACTATATGGAAATAGAATAATTTGTAAATTAAATCTTTCAGATTGCTTCCGTTATTTATATTTTCACTTCTTCAATCATTTCTTATGCATGTTAGCATGATGTTTAGCACTTTGAGATGTTTACCTATAATCCCTTCTCCATCATTATCATTAATTTATAGTTGTCCGCTACTGCTAATGAAATTACAATAAGCACAGGTAAGTTATTGCTAAAACATAAAAAAAAACATCTAAATATACAGACATCAAATTTCATAACTATAAAAATCACAAAAATTCTTTTTCACAATTATGAAGATACGAATTGAACATTTCTAGTTTTAAATAGTAGAACTTCTAATTAAGATTTATTGAAATCTAAATTTAGATTTCAAAAAATTCAAAAGGTCAAAAAATTATTTCAGGATGATAAACCTCGTGGCATTATGAAACGCCGTGAACTGGAAACTAAGGATCAGATGATGTATGCAGAAGAACCACGACAGGTAGCTCAAAATGATTATTGG